ATCCTAAATCTAAATATTTAAATCTAAATGTAAAAGTTAAACCTTAAATGTTGAAGTTCACATTTCAGTATTTTGGAATGGAACGCAGCCTCTCGGCTCATGTTGTGACGTCATCCTGCTGAGACAATAGCAACCACTAGCGCTCCGATGCAGCTAAAACTTCCCTACACGACATCAAACTTGCAGTTATGGCCGGTGTCTGAGCTGCACTACAAACTGCTTGACCACAGGGACCACCAACATTACTTTTTTTATGAACACATCTTGAATTTAGATTTCAAATATTACCTTCAGCAGCGTTCGCAGTGGCTAGCGGTGGCTAGCAGCGGCCGATGTTGATGTTTGTCACAGGATGATGACATCATCCTGGTTATCTGATGCTAACTTCTGCTAACTTCAGCATTTAAGGTTTAACTTTTACATTTAGATTTAAACATTTAGATTTAGGATTTCATATTTAAATGTATTTTTTAGTGAAATTTAACGTTTAGTAAAAATTTGCTAAATGTAAGAACAGTGAGCTAAATAATGAAAAATATGTTAGTGAAATTTTTTAACATTTCATTTTACACTTGGCGCCCCATACTTGTAGTTGATGTTTGTAGATTAACTATATTTGTTCTCTGAAAAAATAAATAAATAGTTGAACTGCTATATATTTTTTGAAGTCAAGATGTCCTTCCTTTATCTAACGTGATCACAGTGAAACACACTGGCATAAAGCCTACCCAGCTGATTTTTTTTGTTTGTTTTTGGCTTCCCTTTAAACGGTGAATAAACAACAACTTTGCCATTTTTGATCAATTAAAAAGCTAGTCAAAGCTGAATCGTAAAGTGATCTCCCTGGTGAGTTCCCTGGTGATCTTAAAAAGAAAGGAGATGAAGTTCTTTTTGTTTTGTCAAGGAATAAAAAGGAATGCACAGTGTGAGAACATGTGATTTGAATAAAGCTCTAAAACACAACCTATGAACATATACATGAGCATAATTTGGGTTTGTTTGCACCTGTTGTCTTCCTGCAGCTGCCTGCCCCGTGCTGTGCAGCGGTAACGGCCAGTACACCAGGGGGCGCTGCCAGTGCTTCAGCGGCTGGAAGGGCACGGAGTGTGACGTCCCTGCCTCCCAGTGCATCGATCCTCAATGTGGGGGACATGGACTCTGTGTGGCGGGAAATTGTGTGTGCAACACCGGCCACAAAGGAGTCAACTGTGATCAAGGTAATCCAGAAAGAAAAACTCTTCCCCCTGGATTCAAAGCAGATTGATGCAACAAATTTCTCTGCGAGGCTCTGGGGGAATCGACTCATTCTCTTAGTGAAACAATTGGTGTTTTCGACTCCACCGAGCGGATAATGCTSTGGATGCTGTTATTGATATTGTGTGTATAAATTAAGTCCCTCTTAGTGTTTAGACTACAAGAGGGTACAAGCTCGAACAGATTGTGCATTGCCCGTCGATGCATTCACCTACCGGAGGGCTCCGCAGATGACGACACCTGTAAAAAATCAATCAGTCCGCGGCATCTGTTCTGCTGTTTGCGAAGGAAGGGCAGCTTCTTCTCACTTGTCAACCTCCCCTCCCACCTCCACCCACTTCACTTTATTTCATTTAATTTTATCGATCCCCACGCAGATAAAAGGCAATTATCAGCTCGGATTTACATGTGGGAGTTGTTGACCTTACATGCAAAAAGCTATTGGGTTCCCTTAATGAATATGCTGTGGTTTTTCTTTGGAGGGAAGAAACACGGAAAAGAAACATACAGTTTAAGATAGAGTTGCATTTGTATTCCTTATTTRCGAAATGGCTCCTGTTTGATTAAAATCTTTATGATTAAAATGATCAGTGACAAGGAAGTTTAGAAATGCACACAAAAAAAATCGACCCTATTAAATTGAGAAAAGGTTGTAAATTTTCACTTGTTTGTGGAGGGTTGATTATATAGTWCATAATTGCCAATTATTAACCCAGATCAACAAGTTGATTTGCAAATTGTTAATAGTAATTGATCATATCAGTCTAGACAGTAATTGTGCTTTGTTTCACAGTTCCTATAATAGAGCGTAATTATGCTGTCTCTATGGTGAATATACCCTATAATATAACATAAAGAAGCTTGCTGAACATAGGGTGGAAAATTACTACTGGCAGCCGCTAAGCTCAGCAAAAAATAAAAAAAGAAATTCAGCTGCGGCTACCCAGCCATCTTCCGGCTCTCGAGCGTTTCCACTCTTAAAAAATGACTTTTTGGCTGGTAGGAGATTCAAAGTGGCCAGGGTAAATAAGTAGGTTGGAATCTAGAAGTGGTAAAGTGACACAGCTGTCATCCTGATTTTGTGTCTTCAGTGGACTGTGTGGACCCGACGTGCTCCGGTCACGGAGCCTGTCATCATGGTGAGTGCCACTGTAACCCGGGCTGGGGAGGGATCAGCTGCGAGATTCTGAAGAGCACTTGTCCAGAGCAATGCTCCAGTCACGGCACATTCAACACCGACACGGGGACCTGCATCTGCGAAGCCAAGTGGACGGGGGCCGACTGCTCTATAGGTCAGAAAGCACTTCCTTTCCCYTCCATCCGTCACTTAAAGTTAACATATATGTTTGTAAATGACTGATGGTTACACCAAGTAGTTGTTTTTTTAATGAGATAAATCAGTTACTTTCCCCATTAAAAGTTTGCAAAGCGAAACAAACTGAAATATTAAAATACTTTCATCAAATTCAAAACGAGATCTTCAAAATGACTTGTTTTACGTTTTAATACCGAAAAATTACAAGCTCATTCAAACAAATTGGCAATCGAAAAWCTTAAGAACTCCAGCTGGTAATGTTTGACCTTCTAATTTGAAAAAACAAACAAAAATAAAGATTCCCATATGAGTTGCTGAGTACTTTTTTTTTGAGTGACTCAGTTGGTAATCATGAATTTCAGCTGAAAAACATATTTTTAGCATTTAAATTAAATTTGACATCTCTAATCTTTTTACTGTTTTTGATATAATCATAAAAGATTGTTTTTTTATTTTTCACATTCTACACACATGCCTCAACAAAATTAAGGGAAACGTTAAACTTCACAGAATTTCTCTTTTACCAGTTATTTCTTTTTTTATGATTGATCTATGATGTTTGTGCTGCACCAACAAGTTCCCCGCAAGCAGTACAGTTAGAACTACAGTAATGTCTTTTTAAAGCCGTCTTTGTGGGCTACGTTTCAGTCCCGCTGACAAGTAATTGGTGCCACATTTCTCCGTATTTATTCCAAATAAACTCGCCCCTTGCTGCGCCTGACACCAGGTCTCCAAAACAGCAGATGTATACGCCTTTACTAACAGGCTGTAAGTTTCTGCGACACGTCTCCGATGCAGCACTTTGCGTCTACACGTGGGTGTCTTATTAAAAAAGTTAAAAATTCTTTGCGGGCCTAGGTTTCTGTAAAATTGTGACATAAATAAAAGTGATATGTGTATTTTTTATGTTTACCAAAAACATGAAATAAAATAAAATCAACGTTTTAGGTATCCATCATCTCCAACTTTAATATATAATTTAGCATCGTGAACAGTTTATTTTCTGAAATTAATGTGTGGCAATTTAGAAAGAAACCTCAGCATCAGTCAGCTCCTTCCTGTAAGTAACAAAATTATACATTGGGATGTCAGAATAATTTATAGTCTGAATCTGCTCTCGACATGATGAATGAGCCCCAACTGAAGTTTTACAGAGTTGCATTACTGTCAGTGCTGCATTTTTTGAGCAAAACTCTAGTTCTCCTTTTTTTTTTTTTTTGTATTACATTGAGAGAAGTCTTACTTATTTATTTCCAATAAAAAACTAAACAACGCTACATGATGGCATATTCGTGATAGTGAGGATTTGTTTACACCACATTTGGAACAATGCAATATGAGCTTTTTATTCAGACGAGAGCAACATTATTAAATGTCTCTTAACACACACAGAAAAGCCTCAGTGTGTTCGGAGTTCCACAAATAGAAGTGAGAAAGTCATCGGAGCCGGCCACAGGAAACAAATCCACTACAAAAGGCTTTCTCGGGTTTGAGGAGACAACTGTAGATATTTGATAGCCACAAGTCACTCATGCTTGGAGGGTTTGTAGAACAAACAGAAGGACTGAGGGCAGACTCAAGTCTTGACTGCAAGTCTTTCTCTGCCTTTTATAGTCTTCAGCATAATCACATACATTTGCACTCGTAAAGTCATGGAGACCAAATAAAAAAAAAATAAAAAAGGTAAAGTAAGAAACAAAATCCACGTTTTCTCATACTGATGTTCTTTAAAAAGAAAATAATAAAAAKGTGAGTAAAATTTGTAACCATATGTCAAATACCAGGTGTGATTATTTACCTACGAAAACAGCCAACGTAACTGGAAATAGGCCAAATGTCAAACTTACCAGACATATCTGTTATCCTAATGTAGGTCAATCATGTGACTCAAGACTTTCATGTGATTTTTGGAAGATTTGGACAAGTTTTTTTTTTGTTTAAACTGAGTGTGGACCTGTATTTCAGAAATACACTTACCGTATTTATTCAAGTATAATACGTAAAATTTAATCCATAAAATCATCCATAAATATGGGTGGTAGTACTATACTC